GGGCTCCATGCCTGGTGGCGGGCCCTCAGCCACCCGTCACGGGGCAGGAACCTAGGGCGGGAAGATGCCAAGGGACTTGCCCAAGGTCGCCCGGCCCATTCCTGATGGAATCTAGACTGGAGCCTGGGGCCTGCTGAGTAACTGGGAAACAGGAGAACCCCCAGATCCAAGCGTTATGTTTAGGGCTCTGCCCAGCCTCTTCCAGAAGGATCACCGGGATCACCCTGGGATGGGTTAAGGCAGCCCACAAGTCCAGCTGCCAGGTAGGGGCAAGGTCCTATGGATTGGTAAAGGTTCACTGAGCACTTCTGCCCTGAGGAGCACTTCTCACTCGGATGGGCGATATTCACACACAACACACCGCGCGGTAGTGAAGTCTGGTGGTTAGACAGATGCCTGGGTCCCCAAAGGGGCACTGCCTGTGTTCAAGCCCCGCCGACTGGCTATGTGACCCTGGGCAGGTGTAAGGGACTGAAAGTTTGTATGCTCCCCTACCCCAATTCATGGGTTGATGCCATGGCCTTTCACGTGACTATATTTGGAGACTGGGCCTGCGAGATGATAAAGGTTAAATGAGGTCCTAAGGGTGGAGCCCGAATCTAATAGGGCTGGTACCCTTATAAGAAGAGGGAGAGACACCAGAGTGTGCTCTCTCTCTCTCTCTCTCTCCACCAGGTGACGACAGCGAGAAGGCACCAGTGTGCAAACCAGGAAGAGAATTCTCCCTAGGAACCTGATCGGCTTGCACCTTGATTTTGGACTTCTCAGCCTCCGAACCCGAGAAATAAATGTCTGGTGCTTTAGGCCACCCCGTCTATGGCATTGTGTTACGGCAGCCTGAATAGACTGAGACAGCAGGTTATCCAACTCCCCTGTGTGCCCATTTGTTCCCCTGGAAAATGTGGCCCGTGTTAGATTCCGTCCCAGACGTTGCTGTATGAAATGGACAAAGATGAGTTTGGAGGGGGCCAGGCGCAGTCCCTGCGTATCTGCTCATGAAGAAAGCTGATGGGGAAGGGGGGTATTGACTGACCTCATTAAGGGGTGGCTTTGAATTCCCTCTATTGGGTTGGGTTGTTGTTGTTGTTGTTGTTTAAGTCAATCATTTGCAGAGTCTGGCCCTCTATTAGAAACAGACCGCTTGGGACCGTTTTGCATTTCTCCTGCTCCGGCCCTTCCGTCCTCCGCCAGCCCCACCTGTATGCCACCTCCACCCTGCCATGGGGCCTGTGAACTTGGGTCCTCCGCTTGCCGGACACCTGGAAACCTCCTACCCATCCTTCAGCCCTCACTGTCGCCCCCTCACCGACTTAATACCCTCTCCAGCTTCATGTTCTTTTCCTTAGGGCACTTGTCACCCTTAGAACAGTCTTTTGCCAGCAGCATTATTTAATTAATACCTCCTTCCCACTAACAGATGGTACGTTCCACACGGGCAGGCACTTTTGCTCTCCAGTGAATTGCCAGCACTCGTCACCGTGTCTGGCACCAGGGAAGAGCTAGGGAAAGACCAGCAACGTGCTAAGGCATAAACTTTAAGGAGGCACCCACCCTCAGGATCATGCACTTGCAGGAACGGCACCTGAAAATGAGCGTGTCCTCGAATCTGGCGCCCTGGGTGCCTGGCTTGCCTTATCCTGGCCTCAGCCTTGCCCAACACACAGCGTATTCTCAGTATTTGCCAAAGGAATTGACGACCGGCGACCCATGTCGCGATTCACCAGCCCCCTCTCATATGTCCTGCTGGCCCCCTGGAGAATCTCAACTCTGAAAGAGATCTGAGAAGCGAAGACAGGGCGGGTGGGTTATTGTCTTGAATCCTCGTCTCTTTGGGGTGCTCCCTCAGTGATCTCTGCTAGGCAAGGTGGGTGGTCCGATGGGTGAGGCTGGCGTTGAGAGGCAGTGAGGTAGGTACAGTGGAGAGTAGGAATGGAATTGGACTCCTGAGTCCTGGACCCGAACCTGATAGGAAGTCATAGGTGTTTATGCGGTGAGCATGGGAACATCACTTAAACGCACCAGGCCTTGGCGTCTTCCTTGGTAAAATGGAAATCATCATAATTGCCAGGTTATCCCCATAAGGAATGAATGAGAGAAAGGCTGGGGCAAGACCTTGGGAGGGGCCAAGTGCTACGGGTTTGTAAAGGGTATTAGTATTTAACTGGCCACCCAGAGGCAAAGGGTGAGCAGGAAGAAGAGAGAGGGGGGATGGGGGGAAGACAGGCCAGAAAGGGGGTGGGGAAGGAGGGAAAAGGCAATAGTAAGAGAATCAAGGATGGAGGGGAAGAGGGAGAGAAGAGAGGAAAGCAAGCATGGGGGTGGGGAGGAAGAGACATGCAGACATTTTTCTGCATCTTGAATGGAAAACTATCCCCTCTGAGGAAAACATTCATTTGTCTCTCCAAGTAGAGAGGTCTTCTAGCCATTTCCTGGGATGTCTTACTTTTCATTTACATCCCACCTTCATCAGGGAAAAGAATCGTGATTTATAACACAAACACATACTCAAACAGGACAGAGATTTCATGGAGAACGACTGAGGCCAGTTCTACCAAGAATCTATCATAAGATGGCCAGCGATCCAGCTGCGCATTCGGTTCTGAGCCTCCTGGCAGCTACGGCAAAAAGGGAAACGTGATGGGTTACAGAGCACTCGTTATTTGACACTGATTTATTCAGTGCACGATTAAGTTCTTTCCATTCTTAGAGGAGTCCAGCCGCCTGGTGGACCAAAACCGAGCCTCACTTGCGTGACTGAGGTGCATTACAAGTCCCTTCTGTGTCTGGAGCGGAGGCCGTGGGAGTGGGGTGGGGGAGGGAGAGGATGGCGTGCGGCAGGCCGTCCATTTGGGAAGAGAGAGAGAACACCACAGGTTGGTGTCCTTCACTGGGCCCATCTCAGCGGGCGCTGTAAAGCCTGCAACCGGTGGAAGGTCCAGCAACTGTTTCCGCCGTCTGCTGTGGACCCGCTTGCCCAGTGAGGGGCTTGGGGGAGGGGTGGTCAGCAGGCCTCACGGAGGACTCCACGCTGCTGGCAGTGGTCCCTCTCAGCTGGCTCCTCTGAGTCTGCACACGCAGAGATTAGGCATGTTG